ATTTAAATTTTTGAAGTTTCTCCTATGGATTCCTTTTTTGTGTCGCATTACAGGTAATCCAGTAATTTCCACCTTCAAGTTTTAGTTTATTATTTTGTTCTGTATTTATTATGTCTTTTATTGTTTTTCAACATAGTTTGCAACAAATTTTAGTCTCAGCTAAGATAAATTCTTTTTCAATTGAAGTTAAAAGATTTGGTAGATAGAATAATATATTTTAATTCGTTTGTGTTTGTCAGAAAGGTTGACTATTTGAAATATTTTATGAGCTTTTCTGCTTCACCCTGAATATGAAATAATTAGGAGTATTCAAGGAACTTAAAAGTATCTTCAATGTATTTCTCCTCATCATATAAATAATTTTATGTTAAACTTGATAAATTCTTTTCATTTGTATTCTTTATGAAGATGCTGGGTAGAATAATATAATTTGATTCCTGCCATTGTCAGAAAACTTTTTTCTGAAAAAAAATAATAATTTTGATCATTTATTTGGGAAACTGTTTGTATACGATGAACTTTGGTATTTGGAGCAAGGCCTTCAGGTCAAATGAAAAGTTAACTAGCAGACAGAGACAAAAATTGTTCCATAGAAAAGTGAAGTTTCTGGGTTATAAAATCAATATGGTTAATATTCTCTTCTTCTATGTACCGTGTCTGTTCAGGACGTTGCCCGATCATGGCTTTCCACAATTTCCTTTTTTTTCACTACTGAATAAAGTGCAGCAAAAATGAAGAGGAAGGAATTGAAAATATTTTGGCATAAATAAATGTTTTTCATCGTTACATAACAGATTTGTTGTATGTTTCTACTCAGTGTTTTGATGATTACTATGTCTTCAACACAAGGACATTTACTAAACAAGCATAGACATGCACTCATGCAATATACAGCAGCTGCACTACTGCACATCAATGCACATTTCATATTGTTTTTGTTGTCTTTTGTTGTTGTTGCTTATCATATTTGATATCTGATATGTCCTGGAAAAGGGATATATTTGTTCGAAGTAGCAAAGTGGTTGTTGACTACTGTAACTGAGTAGGACAACCTAGCAGGTAACCGTAATGGACTGGTCCTCGTTGTAGTGGTACGCAATAAGCGAAGACTATAGGCGTAGCCAATAGGCGTCGTCATGTACTTCCACATCAATCTGTATATATGGCTGACACCAGCCAATTATATTACTGTGAAGGAGAATCCAGGTGTATGCATATTCATTACATCAATATCTTATCAAGTGCACCTTTCTTAAGAAAAAACAAAATCTCAAAAATGTGCAAAATTGAAGTATCTGGTCGGCTAATGTTTACCCGGATAACAACCAGTAGATGGCACCTCGCCTAACTTCACAATACTCCCATGACTGCTGCCATATATGAGTAGGTGCTGCTCAGTCTTCACTGTCCAGTCTCTGATAGAGTCTGGAAGTGTCTCCACGTCCTTGTGGGTAATGAACTATTTTTTTGCCCTACAATCTGGCAACTCCAGAGGTTGGTGTGTATTTCTTGAGCTTTTCAACTGTTCTAACTTTGATATTTTTGGTCAGCAGATTTTGAGAAAGTATTTTTTGTGTTTCTTTGTCAAGGATGGTGATGTTTAGTTTGGTGGCCTCTAGGGACAAGCGGTTGACACAAAAACAATACCGAACGATAAGAATGAGGAGGAGAAAAAAAAGCCCTAAGTAGGTTAACGAACAAGAAGTGAGCCACATAGAGCCAAGATCAGTTTGAAATCAGAGTCCTCCTTCTCCTAGACAAGTTGCCATCCAAGGTTATAGAACCCAGATTGTCCTGCTATTTACCCATAGCTGAAGAGAGAAAAAGAGGATTCATACCTTTCCGAGAAAGGTATTAGCATGTAAGTGAATGTAATAGATTTGAATGGAGTTTGAATTCATCTCTCTCGATTCCTCAATCCAAGTCGCTATCCATTCCCACCATGCCGTCATCTCTGTTGTTAGTACAATGTTTTCAGCCATTGCATCATCTGGCCTTCATCAGGTGTATGTGAAAAAAGTAGTCCATGTGCAAAGAGTGTAAATAATGGTAACACCACATCACAGAGATGATGACAGAAAAAAACTTTAATTTCATCTTAAAACTTCATATGAAAAAAAGTTTCTTAAATATTATAAATTGAAAATATATATATATATATATATATATATATATATATATATATATATATATATATTATGAAATGGACAAAAGTCTGAAGAAAATTATTTTGAAGGCATTTTTATGTTTATACATTCTTTTTTTATAGATACAAATATTTAAGTAAATGCTCTGTTTATAATAAACTGTATTAACAACATTTACTGGCCTGAATGTCCAAGAAATTTTCATAGAAAATATGCGTCCTCCGACAGGAATCGAACTTGTATCCTATACAGAACCGTAATATAGCCTGACGTGCTTTTACTAATTTCACCACAGAGGAGTGTTTCAGTTAGCAAGGTCAATTTTACTGTTTTTAAACCACAATTTCCCATAATTTTCTCACATACATTCATATCTGCTTGATGCATATCCAAATGTAAACAAATGATGTCACACATTATGAAATGGACAAAGCCCGACAATTATTTTTAAGACATTTTTATGTTTATACATTATTTTTTATAGAGACAAATATTTAAGTAAATGCTCTGTTTATAATAAACAGTATTAACAACATTTACTGGAGGACGCATATTTTCTATGACAATTTCTCAGACATTCAGGCTGGTAAATGTTGTTTAATACAGTTTATTATAAACAGAGCATTTACTTAAATATTTGTATCTATAAAAAGAATGTATAAACATAAAAATGTCTTAAAAATATATATATATATATATATATATATATATATATACACACACACATATATGCTAGATAGGAGGCACAGTGGAGTAATGGATAGCGGCTTGGATTGAGGAATTGCAGAGCCGAGTTCGAATTTCAGTCAAATCCATTACATTCACTTACGTGCTAATACCCTTGGGAAAGGTATGAATCCTCTTACTCTCCATCCAGCTATGGGTAAAATAGCAGGACAGACTGGGTTCTATAGCCTTGGATGGCAACTGGTCTAGGAGAAGGACAACTCTGAATTCAAAACCTGCGGAGGGTCGTTTGGGAACCTTGTGGCGTTCTGCACACCAGGTCTCTGTATTCGTCCCTTCAAAAGTGTGGATGGTCCCCACGATGTCTTCACCACTATAATCAAATCTCATGTGTGCGGTGTGGGCTGTCGGTTTCCTGGAAACTGATCTGCTTGACCCTTATACGTCGAATCTCGATGGGAGAGTCGATTATACTAGATGTGGGTATTATTATTGATGAACAAATTAGAGGAACCACTGGAAATATTAACATGAATAAAAAAGAACATAAAAAAACCCAGAAATAACCCTAAAAATATCAAACTACTAAACCCTAATCAAATGCATTCTAACTATAAACAAGATGAAGTAATCCTAAAAAATCTCCTAAGTACTAATATATTCCCTGCTAATCCCAGTAAAAAAATAAAACTACCATAATTCACGATGTATAAGACACCTTCATCCATAATACGCACCCCTAAAATTGTGCTAAAAGTGTGGGAAAAAGTTTCTACTCATGCATAATGCGCACCCCTTGTTTGGTAATTGTTGTATAGGAATAAAGTGTTGCTTCCGACAGTGAAGTTTGAATACAGATCACTAGAGAGCAAACACAGGCAATCCCATTTTGAATAAGTAGATCACATGATATCAAAGGAAATATATATATATATATATATATATATATATGCTAATTAGAGCGATGCCTAATTGATCACCATTTCTGTTCTATCCTCTGTTACTGTACGGATCACTATTCTCTACTCTATCCACTATACTATTTCTCTATATTGATCACTATAAAAATCACTATTTAGTGGTTACTTTTTCGAGCGAGTATTATCGAACAAGTACTATTAGTGCCAGTGTTATTCGAAGGCATCTGACACCAGTATTGTTCAATGGCGTTACTATAGTTGTATCTGCAATTACAAAGTCTCTACTACAACGAGCATTATGAAAGTGACAACAAGTATTCGTTGACATTACAAAAGTGGCAACGAGTGTTTGTTAACATCATAAAAGTATTCAAACCCTATAAATTGTATCTCTCCAATTTTATTATGACCAGCATTTTCTACACTTATTTAAGAAAAATGATTTTAAACATAGAATAATATTCTTCTAATTTAGTTTTATGGTAATTCTTATTTTATTTTGCGGCAATTATTTTAAGATTTTTTTGTAGCTTTGCATAATACGCACCCCTGGTTTGGCTTATTTTTTTTTTAGAAAAAAAAACGTGTATTATACATGGGGAATTACAGTAATTATATACAATAGTAAATTTAACACAACCAACTTAACCATGAGCAATAACGCTTCTCTATCAACTATTGTTTTGAAAAAGACCAATATTGTACATCAGTTGAAATATCCTTTGAGAGATTGTATCTCTGACAAAAAATTAAGTACATATGTTGGATTAACTATCACAACATTATCAAGACATCTTATATGACATTTGTCGGATACAAACTCCAATAGACTACACCATGAAAATAATGAACAAAAACTTCAAATTCTCTAGGCACTCTATATCATAAGCAACCAGCCAACACTGAACAAAATTTATTACGAGTATAGTAGCAATATTTTAAAATGCATTTGAGTAAACTAACATTTAATACCATGTTGCATTTTTACCATCTCTGGTTAACAAGCTAACCATTCAGAAGACATGGAGGAGATAATGATGTTGCCTGGAGGTTATGGTTGATCCAATAATAATTTTATTGAATAAATTTACTCTTTAGTACTTCAAGATATTTTTGTGTAATTTTGGTAAATATATCTTTTAAAATGAAATTTCATCTTTATGTAATTTAGATGACATCCATCGCACCCTGTATAAATATATATAGTTGAAATGAGTTAATTTTTGTTTCTAAGATGAATACTTAC